AATGCTGGGCGAGGGTAAGAAGGGGGCGAGAGTAAGAGGGTGCTGCCCTGGACGCTTCGAGGCCGGGGGGGGGGGCATCATGTGGAGCCAAGCACTCATTTTGCAAAAATGTTGGATGGTCCAGGATGGCGTGCCCCTGACGGCTGCCGGTCTACCGGGAAAGGGATAGCCCGTGAACTCCTGTAATACCAAAAAAGTCCACAGGGCCCCTTGTTTTCCCACATCTGCATTTTTCCGTACGGGGTTCTACTGCATGTATGCCAAATCTAGGCGTGCTGTCACATGTTTTTTCTGCTCGATGCATGTGCCCTCCACTTTATTGTTCGCCTTCTTTCGTGCGTTGGTGTTTAGCTCGAGGTGGCACAGTACACATCTAGGCATGCTATCACATGTTATTTTGATCGCTCAAGGCAAGATTCTGTTTTCTCTGTTCTTCGTGTTGTTTGTTGCGTTGGTGTTAGCTCGAGGTGGCACATTACACGTCCAGGCATGCTATCACGTGTTTTTTTCGCTGAAAGCGTCTGTTCTCCACTTTATTTTGTTTCGCCTTCTTTCTTGCGTTGGTGTTTAGCTCGAGGTGGCACAGTACATCAACGGCGAGATGCCGGGACTCCCCAGACCGATCCAAACGACCAAGCCGATCAGAGGGTTGTGCCAGAGGCTGAAGGGGAAAAGCGGTCGATTCAGAGGAAACCTGTCAGGTGCGGTATTTGTGCTGTCTAGCTCGAAGCCAATTGGGTACCTGTTATTCTATTCTCGGTTTGGTCTCAGCGTTCGTGCTAGTCTCGGTGTTTTCTTGGTCTGAGTGTTCGTCTTAAGTCTTGGTCTATTCTTGGTCTTAGCGTTCGTCTTAGTGTTGGTCTTGGCGTCCACCTCAAGTCTGTTTTTTGTCTTTTTTCCCTTAGCGTTCGTCTCATTGTTGGTCTTAGCGTTCACCCTAAGTCTGTTGTTTGTCTTTTCCTTGACGTTCGTCTTAGCGTTGGTCTTAGCGTTTGTCTTAGCGTTTTCTTAAGGCTGGTTTTGTCATGCCCTTGGCGTTAGTCTCATTCTTGGTCTTGGGCTTATTCGTGGCGGTGGTGGTGGCTGTTGCTGGCTGTTTTCTGCTGTTGACGCTGCTGTCGATGCTCGTGATGGCTGTGACAGTCACACCGAAAAGGGTTTGTGCATCCGTGCGTGTTTATATCGACCTTCGTTGTGCCTGCCTGCCTCCAAGGCCATCTCCCCAACAGCGCACAGGATACTCAGATGCAGGTGCTACATACACACTTGGTATTCGCACTTGTTGTATCTCACTATATTGCCGTGGCTTTAATTACGACAATCGATACACGCTTGTGTGCGCTTGCATCCTGCTCGTCCGACTTGGTGCACTGATTTCCTATCCTTGCGTTGCCTTCCTGTACACGCGAAACAGGAAAACGTGTGGATTTCTCGGCGCGTACCGTTATCTCCCCGGACCCTAACCTCCGTGTGGATCAGGTCGGGGTGCCTGAGAGGGTGGCCAAGATCATGACCTTCCCCGAGATGGTAAATTGATTTGCTGCCAAATCAGTCATTAATATGTTGATTTTCACTGTGAAAATATGGGCCCTCCGGATATGGTAAATTTGCTGGCAAAGTCTTGAATATATATTGCCTCGAATTGTGAGTACTTGACCGGTAAATGGTTGCTGCCAAGACAATCTTGGGGAATATATATGTGTGTGTGATACGTGGCCTAAGGAGATCGGAGATGGTGCTGCCGAAGTAGTCTTGGATATATTGAACAGAACCGTGAATGCAAGGCTTATGGGGATCCGGTGGGGGGGTGGTTATTGTGTGCAGTCAGCATCTGTCTGGACTCCAGATTAAACGCCGGCGACTGAATGTTCCCGACTAACAACACGAAATCGAGGTGAGGGAGAGAAAACACAACAATGTTGTTGGCGAGGTAATGGTCGGACTGCGTTCGTAAGTAGGCTAGCTTGCTCTTAAGGGTTCACATGTGGCTTGACGTGTGAGTAGGATTGTGACCTATCGGTCATTTTTTGTTACAGCGATGCCTCTCGTTTCCCCTTTTCGCGAAACCCTGCACAGGTCTCGCGATACAACATCGAAAAGCTTCGCAAGGTGGTGAGGAACGGGCCCGACGTGCACCCAGGAGCTAACCAGGCGAGTCAAAAGAACTACATTCTGTGTTTCTTTTGTATAGGTTTTATTTTACGTAGCACGATTGTCAGACGGGCACTCCGGCTCCTACTTTTGTCATGATGTTGGCCGTCGATCGCTTTAGCCCGCACCCTTACGTTCAAGAGTTGTCGTTTTCTTGTTGATGCCCCGGGTGATATTGGAGTAACCCTGTTTGCCTGATTTCTGATTGGATATCCTCTGCTTTTGGATTTCTCGTGACTAGCCCAGATATGCACATCGACAAACGCTGGCGTGATTGAACCCTTGTACATGTCGGTCTCCCGGATTTCCGCACCATTTTGTCGTGGGACGTAAGCAAGCAATCTGTTTAAAAGTTGAACTGTTGAGCATATCTAGCTCTAGGTGCTGCTGGACGACGCAGGCAGCCTTTCGAGAAAGGACCGAAATCACTATATCTATTATAGGAGTTCAACAATGAGAGGCATACCATCCGTTCGTGACGTTGACGCCCCCGGGGATAACTCGCCCTGTGCTTTTGCGTGACCCTGTGAAATCGGTTTTCGGTCACAAAAAACAAAACAGGTGCGGCTGGATGGAGGCGACGGTTTCGTGAAGAAGCTGTTTATCGAGCACGTTCGGGAGCAGCTGTCTGAGGAGCTCAAGATCGGAGATATCGTAGAGAGGCACATGGAGGACGGAGACGTGGTTCTGTTCAACCGGCAGCCGTCCCTGCACAAGATGTCCATCATGTCCCACAGGGCAAAGGTACGTTGTTGTTGTTGATGGTGGTGGTGGTGAAATTGTTGTTGTTGTTGTTGTTGTTATTGTTGTTGATGTTGTTGGTGTGGGTGTTGTTGGTGATGTTGTTGGTGTGGGCGTTGTCGAAACAAATTGTGCTTGCTAACTGCTGCTGACGTATTTTGTCCTTTGCTGTCGATAAGCGGGCGCGTTGGTGCCAGCCACGACGCCCCTGCGTAAAACGCACATCTCCGCAGGCCAGGTTTCGCCGGGGTTTCCTACCGCCCAGGAGCATGCTTTGCCGAAACAAGCAAGCGCTCCTCCTTCTTCTTCATGCCACCCTCTCCTGAACACCGGCGTAATAAATAGTACTCCCGCCGCTCCCCCCCCCCCGCCCTTAACTTTGTGTGTGAAGATCATGCCATGGCGGACGTTCCGGTTCAACGAGTGCGTCTGCTCGCCGTACAACGCCGATTTCGACGGGGACGAGATGAACATGCACCTCCCACAGACGGAAGAGGCGAGGGCGGAGGCTTCCCAGGCGAGGCGGCGTTACGTTGCTATTATAGCCCTTCTTGTGTGTGACAGCTACATTTTTCATTGAAGTATGCGGCGTCACCTCTGAGCTGGAAAATTTTAAGAACTCGGTGCACGTTGCTTGCCCTTCTTGTATGAACGCTATTTTTTTTCAGTGAAGTATGCGTCACCTCTGAACTGGAAATAAGGAAAGGCTTCTTGACAGCATTTTGTGTTTCTCACAGAAGCTGCATGTGAAGCTCTTGTCGTACATGCAGTCTTTGGCAGAAACCTAAAATTGTTTCGAGAAAGGGCATCTTGTGTACATTTGAACACGTCCCGTGATTTTTTTCTGTGGTTGTTTTTGTGAGTGTTGTCATACAAGGTGTGTACAACCGAGCACGCTGAAACTGCCCTCTCTCTCTCTCTCTCTCTCTCTCTCTCTCTCTCTCTCTCAATCTCTCTCTCTCAATCTCACCCACCCACCCACACCCCCGCCCCTAACTCTCTTCGGCCCTGCAGCTGATGGCGGTGCCGTACAACCTGGTCACACCGAGAAACGGCGAGCCCTTAGTCGCGGCCACGCAGGACTTCCTCACAGCGGCCTACCTCATCACCCAGAGGGACATCTTCTTCGACCACGAGACCTTCTGCAAGGTGGCGTCGTATATGGGGGACGCTGGGGAACACGTGGACATCCCGCCTCCGGCCATCATGAAACCCGTCGCTCTGTGGACGGGCAAGCAGGTGCGTGTGTTCGTTCTCGTAACGTGGGCATCGCCGCATGTTGGTTGGATTTCGGTGCGCCCGCTGTTGTTGTGGCAGTCACCCGTCCATACTACCGGCCTCTCTCTCTTTGCGATTGTGTTCCTGCTTTTCTTTTTTTTTTATTGCCGCCGGGGGAGCGTGGATATGCCACCGCGGCTTTGTTGAAACCCCCTTCCATCGAGAACAAGTGTGGTTGTTGGTTGGGAGGTACGGCAGCTGCTGTTTCGCGAAATTCGTGGCAGCAGCAATACGATTATCAATGCTGGGAGACGCTATTTTGTTGAATCACCCTTCCAGCGGGAACGGGTGTGCGGGAGTGTTGATTGCGAGCGGTGCCATAGTAGCTGCTGTTCTCGAAAACTTCGTTGGAGACATAAGATATCCACCCTGCGAACCGCGACTCATAGTTACGGAGTAGCTGTCGTCTGTTGCTGAATACCCCCCCACGGCCCTGACAGCTGTCTAACCCAAAACACACCCTGGACATAATCTTCGTGATGCTGACTGCCCCCCCCCCCACCCCCATCTGTCTTTCGTAGGCGATGTCCCTCATGGTGCGACCTTCCAAGGAAAACAAGATCCTGGTCAATTTCGAGAGCAAGGAGAAGAACTACAAAGGAAACCGCTTCCTGTGTCCAAGCGATGGGTGAGTAGTGGTCGTGGCGTGCCCCCTGCAAACGCGGCGTTGTGCGGCTGGCATTGCGCACCACCCCCCCAGCAACACGCCGCAGTCAAGATGCTCTACGGCATGGCACCTCGCACAACATCCGCCGCGGCAGAGTAGAGCTTGCAACGTGCAGAAAACGACAACAGCAGCAATAGCAGCATCAGCAGCAGCAGCAACACCACCTCCTCGCCCGTCAGGTGGCCGTTGCGGCGCTCCTCGTTGGTAGGAGTAGTGCGCCACGTATGGTGCAACACAACCTTGCGCATCAGCTGGTTGTTTTTGTCTGCCCTTTCCCGCAACATCCGATGCCCTGTCCAAAAATTGTGCCGACGTCTGCTACGAAGCTAGGCATGCCACACATTCGGTACTTGACGCGCAGCTGCTGATTCTTAGTCTTGCCCGTTGCACCCCGTGTGTTTTTTTTTTCCCAACATGGAACAAGTATGGGGTATCGAAGTGAATTTTAACCTTGTCCGCATAAAGGGCCTGAGATGACTAAATACCTCGCAGCACTAAATAACACAAGAACGACCAAGTCGTGCGTGTTTTACATGCCACCTTGACATTTGTTTTTAAGGTTGTCTCCCCCCGTCGTGCCTCGCTCCTCAGCTACGTCTGCTACCACAACTCTGAGCTCATGTGCGGCAACCTGGCGAAGAAGACCCTGGGTGACGGGTCGAAGACGGGGCTGTTCTACACCCTCATCCGAGAGCACGGTCCTCTCGAGGCGGCGAGGTGAGGCGGGGTTTACAGACAAGTTCGATGGTCGGCGGCTTGATCCATGTTGTTGTTGTTGTTGTTGTTGTCGTCGTCGTCGTCGTCGTTGTTGTTGTCGTCGTTGATGTTGTTGTCGTTGTCTTCACATTATAAGCAGTACCGGTCTCCACTCAGTACCTTCTAGTATCCGTACTATAACAGTACAACTGACGCAGACGCCTTCCGTGGTCACAAGCCAACTACTATCTACTATCCAAGAGGGGTATATACACCTTTCTAGAAGGAAACTACTGGTACTTGGTTTTTTGTGCCCTGTGCCGTATTTTTGTATTGTTCAGTTTTTTGTCCCTTCTCTTGCTCATATATTTGAGTGCACCATCAAAATGCGTGGAGCTGGCTCAATCGTTACTGGTAAACATTTGGTGTATAGTCACCCTAACGTTGCTTCCTTCCCACCGTTTTTTGTTTTGTTTTGGAATGCGTGAGTCAACCTCCGAGTATAACTACCGCATGAGCTAGTCGAACCTGAGGTTCATACCCCCCCTCGTTGTTTCTGTTGGATGTTTTCTCTTCGATCTTGACTCGTTTTTTCTCTTATATCCATTCTCATGTCTCCTTTTTTTGCGGCGGCGAAGGTGCATGAACCGGCTGGCGAAGGTCTGCGCTCGCTACCTCGGTGGACACCGAGGGTTCAGCATCGGCATCGAGGACGTCACCCCCGGCGCCGAGGCAAGCAAGCAGCAAGCACCAGCCATCCGTCAACCAACCAAGCGTGTAACGAGTTACTTGCCATCGCCTCCTGCTTCGTTAGATCTCTCGTTGCTGCGTTGTCGTCGCTCGTGCTTTTCACCATGTGACGGTCTCGTTGGTCATGCTGGTTGTAGATACACATACACACACACAGCGTTCTGGTTCTTCCTTGTGAACCTTAGCCTGGCTCGGCGACAATCTGACGTTTCCCTCCGTCCCGGCATGGTAGGGATGCGAGGTCCAATGGTCTAACGACTACGGCATGTGTCCACCCCCAGCGCGCTCTGGTTATAGCCTACCCCCC